TTCCCCTAGCTCTATATGCTGAGCATGATGCCACATGGTGTGGGATACCCCTTTGGTCAGCTGGGGTCTGCTGACCTGGCTGTGTCCCCTCCAAGCTGCTTGTCCAAACCCAGCCTGCTCACTGGTGGAGTGGTGTGAGGAACAGAAAAAGCCTTGACACTGTGCAAGCCCTGCTTAGCAACAGCTAAAATACTCCTGTGTTATCAACACCATTTCCAGCACAAATGGAAAGTATAGCCCATACTAGTTACTGTGAAGAAAATTAACTTTATCCCAGCCAAAGCAAGCACTGAGGCCTAAAATACTGTTTGTTATCCTGGACCATATTTTTTGGTTCTTTTTATCGGTGCACTGACTTTTACATTGCGTGGATTGGAAGTGCCCATAATTCCAGGTGTGGCTGCTACCTGAGCCATGCATAATCATCTAAACTCATGATTTGCATATAATCCTCCTTTTTGATATGCAACCATTAATACTTTCAAACTTTATGGTAGTGGAGCTGCACTGCAAATTTTATTTGGTTTCTTACTGTTCAAGGGGAGCCTATTGGCAAAGGAATAGGCTGCACAGCCTGCTCCAGCTGCACAAGGAACCATGCTCACAGGCTCTTCTCCTGCTGGGGGACTTCAACAACTGCAACATCTGGGAAAGAAGCACAGTGAACTGTAGGAAATCCAGCAGACTCCTGGAATGCAGGGAACACGACTTCCTAAGCTAGGTAATAGACAGCCCTTCTGGAGGGGATATGCTACTGGATCTTATGATCACCATCACAAGCAAGAGTCAGTCTGTGCTGCAGAGATCACAAGCTGATGGAGATTACAGTCCTGAGGGATATGGGTCAGGCAAAGAGTCAGGACCCTGAACTTCAGGAAATCAAAATTCCAGCTCTTCAAGGAGTTCTTCAATAGGTTGCCCTGTGAAACTGCCCTCAGAGAAAAGGGAGCAGATCAGAGCTGGCAGCTCCTTAAAAATGCTTTCCCATAGAGCACAAGAGCCAGCGATCCCCAGGTGTAAGGAATCAGCATGGCTGAGTTGGGATTTGCTGGTCAGGCTAAAGGGCAAGAAGTAAATGCACAGATAGGGGAGGCAGGCACAAATATCCTGGAAAGAGTAAAGGGATGTTGGTCAGTTGTGTAGGGGTAGGGTTGGGAAAGCCCAGGTACAGCTGAAGCTGAACTTGGGAAGAGAGGCACAGAGTAGAAGAGCTTCTACAGGTATGTCAGCCACAAAAGGAAGATCAGAGAAGGTGTACACACACACACACATGGATAAACAATGCTGGTAAACTGGTAACAGCAAATTAAGAGAAGACAACTTTTTTGCTTCTGTCTTCACTGGTAATCTCTCTTCCCTCTCACCCTCCCTGGAGGGTACTGCAAGGGACAATCAAGTTTGGAAGCACCTGAGGAACTTGAAGATAAATGGGTCTATGAAACTTGATAAGATGTATCCCAGAGTTTTGAGGGAATTGGCTGATGTACTTGCCAAGCCACTCTCCATGATGTTTGAAAAGTCACGGCAGTCAAGTAGAGTCCCAAGTGACTGGAAAAAGAGGAACATTGTACCTTGAGAACCCTGGGAATTAGCAACTTGTCATCCTCACTGCTGGACCTGGGAAGATCACAGAACAGATCCTCCCAGAAGCTATTCTAAGGCATATGGAAGACAGGTCCCTTCCAACCCAAACCATTTTATGATTCTATGAAAAGTATCACAATATGGAAGAAGATCAACCTTGGCCTGCATATATGCAATGTATGCATTTTTCTGACTACTCTGGTACTTCCTGCAAACCTTGCACTGAGATCCAGGCCTTGCCAAAACTGGAGAGGAGCAGTGGCTACTCTCCACTTACCCCATCTACATCTACAAACTCTGCAGAGAACAAACCAGGCATTTCTGAATAAAGTATTTCCAATTACCATGACTGGAAATTACGTTACAAAGTGTCCTAATATATGCACACCACATTAGAAAGAATATAATTCATTAATCAATTAAAGGTATTTTACCAGGCTTTTAAAAAGAAAACCATGTTTTACATACCTCAGAGAGATTTCCCCAAAAAGACTGCAGTATGGGCACTGATATAGGAAAATTCTCACAGAAATCTTTTTTACGCTATCACCACTAAGGGTGCTACTCTGGGTGACTGGTTTTTTGTTGTAAGGCAGTCTAACTACGTGCATCTTTTCAAACCATGGAAGCACAAAGTGACACAAGATCTTTCACTGCTGGCTCACCGGGAGATCAATCTGTTCCCCTCAGCCACTGAGAAGTGTTTCTGTAAGAGCCCTTTCCTCTGTGTCACTGCAGTTCTTTCCACAGAGCCCTTTCTGCAAGTCCATTTAGAAACCACTCTTTGCAGGACAGGTTTGCCTTACCTATCTCAACAGGCCTCCAGTGCTTCTGGCTCTCCAGTAGCTATTTAATCTTCAGGACCTCAGGAGACAGGAATTGAGCTGTTTCAGAGCAGAGTCCCCAAATTGTCTTTGTTAATCTTATTATTGTGTGTTAAGGTCCAAGGATCTTTTACAGCCTGGACAGAGATTTCTGTAGTATGTACAGGCTCAGCTCAGTGCCCTCTATAACACAAAGGCACAGGGAACAGAAATACATGACAAATTATTGATATTTGTTACTGGTATTGTGTTTATGAGGCTGCTGCCAGTCCCTTTACAGTCTGCTACGGGTGCAAACCAAACCTGCTGCTATTGTCTTTGTCAGTCCAGAGAAGGTCCAGCACCACCAGTTAGTTGTTCTAAGCCATTGGGGCAAATGATGGGTAGTAAATCTGTCTCTACTCAGGGATGGATAGTGGTATTTTACAGTCTGCCGCATAAAATGTTGTGCCCCTGTAGGTGGTGATGTTAAAGATTTCCCCCTACACTGAGCAGGGGGAGAGCTGCAGCTACAAATAGCAGCTGAGGCAAACAGGTCCAATTAAAGAGTAATTCAGTGAGGAATAAAACTCCAAGACTTACTTAGCTTCCATTTTGGTAAAAGAAAAAAAGTAAAACTTCCAAATATATCAGTTCTACTTGCATTATTTCATTGTTAGCAATTAGGATACTCTGACAAAGCAGACCAAGCCTTTATTAGCTGAAGCAGCAGTTCAGCTGTGGCTGGAGTTTTATTGCTCATTGATTAAGCAATAGATACAAGCTGAACCAGTAGCCTCATGTGAAGGGTATTAGAGCTGAATGCCTGGCAGATTTGTGTGAAGACTTATAGCTATGGGACAGATAGATCTATATATATTGCCCAGGGTAAAGCTGCATGAATGACTCTGAAAGGAGAAGGTTGCTGCATCATGGCAAATAATTGTCCATTTATCTTAGCATGAAATCTTTTTACACCTCACATAAAATAAGCCACTTTTGTGGGAGGGTTTGTTCAAGAATATTCCTTTTCAATGCAATGATGGGGTTAAATTCTGTCTTTTGTCTGGAAAAATGGGCAGTCATTCAGTGAACTTTGGAAGAAAACATTTCCTTTCTTTGTTAATCCCTGCTCTTCCAGAAGTATTGAGCAGGGTCCTGAGGAAACATCTTGCTACGGATGCTGACACCCAGTCCTGCACAGACCAGCTGCACAGCTCCTAGAGAGAAGCCCTGAAGAAAGCAGTCCTGCTGTCCCCAGATGTCATCCTTGCCCCACTGCCTAGAAATAACATTTTTGTAGAGGAGCTGGAAGAAGAAAACCTTTGTTCCTGATCTGGTGCAGGCATACTTGTTTAAATTTCTGATGAAGATTAATTTTCACTGATATGTCTACTCTGGCATTGCTGTGGCTGAGGTGCAAACATTTTATTGCTGACACTGCTGTGAGAGAACTAATCTGCAAAATAGAGCATCCTAAGCCTCAGCAGCTCTTTGCCTCTGGGAACGTGAGTCAGGATGCTTAGATTGCACTGGTTTCTATTAATTGCCTGCTTAACTCCAAAGAGCCAGACGTGTCTTTTTAATTTAAAATTACATTTTTACAAACTTAAAATAGAATAAAATATAGGTTATAACAAGAGTTACCTAAAAACTTACTGGACTTCATTTCCCTCTGTTGCACTGTGATGTGAGAATAGAATGATGGAACCACATACACAAAAGAGCTTCACCTGCACGTTTCTTTTGCCCAATATTCAGACCTTGTATTTGACATGAATGTCATGGTCTTTACTGATCAAATCTTGCCCAGAAAGTTCAGACTTGGTCTTGCACAAGCATAAAATTAAATTATAACTAACATTTCACAAACTAGTAAGCTTACACTGTGTCCTGCTTCTTTTTCCTAAAAATAGCCAGGAAGGCAAATACTCTTTGGATGTACAATTCGGTTTGAGATAGCTACAGGAGAGATTTTCTGGGAAAACAGGGGCATCTTCTTCATTTGTTGTCAGTTAATTTTCTTTTCATAGAAAGACCATAGTTGGGGTCAGCTATAGCAGAAAACATTTATTGAAATCTGCTTTGTTTTTCAGAGAATGTGTGATCTTGTTCAGTAACACTTAAGACTTTTATTTCATGCAAAAGCAGCCTGGATGGAAGGTGACTGGGGAGGTAGAAAGCAGATATTTTCTCCAGTTCCTATTTGTTGGTTATTGAATGGCAATCAGCAGATCCCATTTTGCCTTATGATTTCAAAGTGAAATTTTCCTTGAGTGGAGCCTAATCTGTGCTTGAGTGTAATGAATGACCTGTGCAGACACAGGCAGAAAACTTCACACTGCAAGAAAGAGCTTCCCATGAGCTGTTAAGGGATGCAGTTATTGAAATCAAAGACTGGAAGCAATTTTTAAATGCCCAAAGATGGGTTATTCAAACTTTGAAAGACCAGCTTCACTACAGTGTGGCATAGTCACTGATGTTGCAGTGTGGTGTGAGAATGCAGAACATTTCCCTGCAGCAATCCCATCTCCTGCACCAAACAGAGGCTCTCCAGTGCACTTATTTTACAGTGATTTAGGGACTGAGCCCGAGAGCAGCACAAGCTGTGTTTAATTTTATTTCCTGAAGGCACAGACTGAAGCAATATTAGAAGCAGACTGCACTGGCCTGTAGAAAACTCACAGTGTTGGATTTTTTTTTTTCCACTGCTTGCCAAAGCCTCTGACATCAACCTTACCCCAACAGGGAGCCAGAGGAAGGAGAGGGAGGTGCAATGGCAGATGGCAACCCACAAGGAGGCGAGAACTGCATACTGCACTTTGGCACTCCATGACAAGGACAACTTTACAGTAACCTACTTTGCTTATAAATCGAATGAGGATTATTTGCTATTTACCCCACCCCCACCCCTATGTTTGGTCAGATCACTGCAAGACAGGCAAAAAAAATCTAATTAATTAATTGACTTAGCTCTGCCAAGCTGTATTTCTAATGCTGGGAGGACATAAGAGAACTGATTTTAATATAGTTAAGCCAGACATTGTGGAATTTCAGGCTTTGATAGGGTTTCAATGTGTAGATGAGCTGGGGGACAAATTTGCCTACCCAGTAAAGGAGCAGTGAGTTTCTCTATTACCTGGCCTGAATGCCCCAGAAATCTGCAGAAACCCAACAGAGGTTTTGCAATGCTTTCTCCTTGTCTTTGCCTTCAAGCAAAAGCATGTTCACTGGAGACAGACAACAGGTAAGGGGAAAGGAAATTTTACTTTCTTGTGTTTTCTGAAAAATTGTTCTCCTGTCTATTTCTAGCCATTAAAATTAACTTGCTATCTAAATGGATCTTGTCTAAATTAATTGTGCTGTCTCTGTGCAGTGTTTCCCCAAGGAATGCACTGAAATACTGTTATGTCTTTGCCTGTTCTTGACTGATTGAGATATTAATTAATTATATGAATAAGCCTAGGAAAATAAAAGTAGGTTTTTCTCTTAATTCATGTGAGTACTGGGCCTAATGCCTCATACATGGTGTTTGGCAGTAGTCACTTTGCTGTATGACCTTGTTCACTACTCCACAGTGCCCCAGCTGGGTGGGGCAGGTGCAAAGAAGGGAGTTGCAGGGGGAGGAGACTTGTGGGCAGTGCTGGGCAGCACAGCTGGCTCCTAGCGAGTGCTTTACAGGAATAGTGCTCTGATGGACACAGCTACCCTCTCAGGTGCCAGCCACAGGGTTATCATGTAGCTAAAAACTTTTGTCATGCAGCAATCCCACTGTTCTGGGATTTATTCAGCTCAGTTTTGCATGAGTCAGTCAGGCTGGGTTTGGTGCACTAATGCTGCGTCCTCGCTCTGTGCTCAGGGCTCACTCATCAGAATCACAGAGTCACAGAATCATGTAGGTTGGAAAAGACCTCCAAGGTCATCAAGTCCAGCCATTAACCCAGCACCACCATGTTCACCACTAAACCATGTTCCTGAGTGACACAGCAATGCTTCTTTTGAACACTTCCAGGCACTGGTGTCTCCAGGGCTTTCCTGAGCAGCCTGTTCCAGGGCTTGAAAACCCTTTTGGTGAAGAAATTTTTCCTAGTATCCAATCTAAATCCAAGCCTCCTCTGGCACAACTTGAGGCCTCTTTCTTCTGTTCCATTGCTAGTTACTTGTAAGAGCTGGGTGATTAATCAGGGATAGCTTCCCTGCTGTGCCTGACATAGCTCTATCCCAAGCGTGTCAGAGTCTGGCAGAAAGCCTTTGGACAACCAGGGAACCTAAGGGTATGAGATGTTGCTTTTTAAAAAATTCCTGAACAAACAGAACCCCTTTTCTTATCTAGCAAATGGAAACATGAATGCTCTGCAGGACAAACATATTCTTTATGATGGAAGTGGACATGACAGCTTTGTTTTCTCCTTGCTTGGTTGTTGTTTGCTCATTTTATGAAGCTTCTCCAGGAATTTTAGCTCCAAGGAAGAGTTTCCTTACTGACACTTTTATTCTTCCCATGGTGAGGAAAGCAAAACCCTGAATCATGTAACTCACCTTGCCTCAAAGCTGAGGGGAAGTTGAATGTACATTTTCTCTGCCACTAGCTTACTTAGAATGTTATATATCTGCATATAAAATAAAAAATACTTAGCTGGAACAAGGAACAAGTACTTAGTGTTGTTTAAGAATGCTAAAATTTCAGACTTAAAAGTTGCAGTAGCTACTTTATGCTACTCACCAGTAAGTGCTTTATACTACTGTAATATGCCTGTCTCCGGTGTGCCTATTAAAAAATAATAAAAAAAAAAATTAAACATTTGAAAAACAGAACTTACTTTTTAATTTGCCTTTTACCTGTAACATGTGCATTTCAAAACTCAGACTTGATTTAAAAATAACCCATATTCCAGGAAAGTATGTGTTAAAATTGCTTCCACAGTGTGTCCAAAACTCTATGTGCTCTGTGAACTTGTGTAATTCATATTCAGATGCCCATACTGAGAAAGGTTCAAATGATTGCTTCCCAGAACACGAGAAATTCTTTCAGACATGGTTGTGATTTACCAAGTCCCTTGGTTTCCTGTCACAGAATTGGTGGAGCCCTGGGCTTGAGGGAGAGAAGTGGGATTGTCTGTGACACCTGAATATCTCAAAAACACTCAGACTCTGCTGTTGGCTCTGCTGAATTGAATGCAGAGCAATTCATTCACTTCAGTGCTGTGTAACTATCTCCTTGCTTTGCACAGTCATTTTGCTTGAAATGATGAATAATGCCTGGGTAGTGTAAATTCCCTGGGGGCCATAGCAGATGCTAGAAACTCTACCAGTGGTGTTGAGGCATTTGGAAAATTCTTTTCTTTCCATACTTTACGCTATAAGAAGAACTTCAATACTTGATTGCAAAGGAGTTTGCCTTGAGGGATAGAAAATTTCAGAAGACACATAGATAGAAGTTTTATAAGTTTTCATAAAGAAGTTCTAAAAAAGACTGAAGAGATTGATGGACAGAAAGGACATTCTCCTGTCTGTAGTCTATACAAGATAAAAAAATATTCACATCAGCATTAGCATTCAATATCAATTTTTCATATGCCCTCTACTGACTGTATCAGGGAGATCCTTCTTTTGAACTAGACACCCCACACCCCATAAGCAGCATTTATTTTTGTGAAGAGCAAAACCATATTCAAGCCTTATGACCCTGGAACTTTGCTTAGGAGTGCTGTAATTAGAGCTTGTATCTCTTTACCTTGAGCTTCAAATCTGCTTAGCAAACCTGGAGGCTTGGCTCTAAACCCAGCATTTATGCTAAGATGCTGTGCTAGCTACACTCTTGGATTTGTCAAAACAATCCAGCCAACTCTCATAGGAAACCAGAAACAAGAAGGAAAAATTTGGCCAAATTCCTATATCCAAATATTTTTACAGCATGAGAAATTGAACTAATAATGCTTCTGTCTGGTTAACAGCTGTCAAAGGATGAAAAATAAGCTACTGGGAATGTAGTCAATCACTCACTCCTTTTAATGTGGTGTGAAATCCATAAAGGCATTTATACTGACTCTTAATGTGTTTTACAGAAAAATCACTGGTAGCTGTGTTGAAGACATGCCAACTTTTAACAAGCAGCGTCTGGTGCTTTCCGGGCCACTCCATGCATGTGCATCGTGTAGAGAATGAGCTTGCACTCTCTTTGCTTCTGGGAATGCATGTTCAGTAACATCCCCTCTCTTCCCCCTCTGCTTGAGGTGGGTCACCAGGACATAAGCTTCATTCACAAAAAGACATCCAAGCTTCATCCAGTGGTGACTGGATGGTGGTGACTGCAGTTTTCAGCTGCGGGTAGCACGGCAGCTCCTCTCCTGCATGGGCTGCATCCCACAGGCATGGTGGCACAGGGGACATAACCATGACAAGTCCACTGATTCCAGAAGCCTGTTATTCTAAGACAGCAGAGCAGGTGAATCACTGTTTGCAGGGCTGTGGCCTCCCTTGTGTGCTGTATTCTCCAGCCAGCAGGCAGTACTGACACTGCCTTGCATGACACAATGGGATGACACGTGTGTGAAGAGCTCGGTGTTGAACCACACACAGAACAGTCTATATATAGCCAGAAGTAGCAGCTTTCTGAATTAGGATGGCTATTTTTGTGCCCAATAGCATGGGGGAATGAAGAAATCAGTGGCTCTGCACAGAGAATGCATGGCTCAGGTTGTTGAAGGATTTGTGTTTCATTCTGGCCCTGCTCTTCACTGGGGTTTGTTGGATGGATACAGCTGCATACAGCTGTGATGGTCACGGTCTGAGGCATCTTCCTCATCCTGCCCCAGAGGAGATATACTGTATCAGGTGGTGCTAATGCAGGGGCTAAAGGCCCCTTTGGTCACCCTCCTTCTCCGGCTCAGCAGGCCATGGCAGGATTTAGGCTGGTTGACTGCTGGGTGGCTGCAGGGATGGTCATTGTGCCCAAAGCACGAAAGGAGAGCCAGTACCAAGGCCTTCTGCCATTGTTTCAGGGGAAAGCACCTTGTGAAATGTAACTCATAACACTCCCTTTTTTTTTATCTCCACCATCAGTTCATCTGGCCCCTAAAACCAGGCTGGCCATTAAAGACCAGTCTTCATGGCAGCTCTACGCTATGTAGGTCTGCAGTCCTGGGGACCTGAATATATGCCAGCTCATTTCCCCTAAACTCACAGCCACTTGAACTTTGCTGCTCTTTTTAATGACACTGACTAATTTTGTGGTCTGAGGATCACCTGATATGTTCAATCCAGGCAAAGTTTTTAATATTATAGAGAGTCAGGAACACAAAAAATGTATCCTGTCTATAAAATGGCATACAGCTGCCATGCATGAGAATGGTAAAATAATAGGGAAATACAGAACAGAGTCTTGCTGTTTTCTTTTCTATTTGTTACCTTTACCTAGTGATCCGTAGAGATGAGCAGTTACTATTCCTCAAAACAAACATTTACTCAGTTTCGCAATGTGTCTTTCACATGTGAGTTAAAGGCTCTTGTTCACACTTTCTCATAGCTCCACAGTAAAAAATTACACAAATCAAGGCAATAGAGATCCTTAGAGGTGAGACTGCACTCAGAATATCTTCCTGCTGTCTTGTCACATTGAACTCTCCTTTCCAAACTGGGATGTACACAGGCATAGTCATTACAGGTCAGTCCAAAATAGAAAGAAAGTGCCTCAGGATGGCTGTAGGGTGAACACTGGTGTTGTGGTTCCTGTCCAGCCTGATGCCATCAGTATAACAAAAACTGTGGCTTCAGCTGAGCTCCTTCCAGACATTAGTTCAGAGAGCAAAAATCACCCACTAGAACCAGGATCTGTGGAGGAAATGACCAAGGCTGAATAAGAACAGTAGTTATCTCCTTTAAAAAAACAAACAAACATTGCCTGTAAGGCAAATACACACAATACAGCTGCCTGCAGCCTACTAGGCCAGGGAACAAATTAGGAGCATTGGACTTCCAGTCCCATTGCTCTCAGAAATGTATCTTATTAATTCATTTTCTGAATGATTTCTGAATTTATGTACTTCGTGATATGCAACTACTAGTACTAAATACATCATACCAAACCAACGCTTATGCTTTCTTTGCTCTATTTATTAATTTTTCTCTTTTGACAGATCAGCTCACAGCCTCCAGAAATTGCATCCTATGGTAACATCAGGTATTAGTGATGTAGAAAATCTGGAGGCTTTCCTAACATTCCAGTGTGCTGCTCTTTTATTCAGCTAAACATATTATGGCTTTGTGCTTCTCTCTTTCACTCATGACAGAAAGGAGACATAATTTTTTTGTAAAGATAATACCTTGTAAAATATTATTTTTCCTACTGGACAACAAGTACCCTGAGCTTCCACTGAACTCAGTAGTGATGGGGGATGCTTATGAAACTAAGTCTGAATTCTCAGCTAAGTGAAGCATTTGGGATTTATTTCAGTCCCACTGAAATCAGTGGGAAATAAATAGAATTTTAAACAAACATTTGAGTGCTTTGCCAAATGCAGTTAGAATGCTGAACATTGGTCTCAAAAAGAAACTGTTTTCTATTTCTTACCGTGATAACATATTTTGACACACTGTTATGGTACCAAGTCAGCCATATCATCTTTAATACATTACAGCCAAGAGAGAAGTCAGCCTGCTGCCGTAAAATTCAGGAATAAGGATCATCTTTGAGTGGTATTTCTGAAAATCAGTGACACCCATTTTTAGATGAAAAGTACAACACCTCTATGTCCCAAGAAGTCTTTTACTTGTATGTCTCCAAGGAAGCTCAGGCCAGGAGTTAGGCAGCCAGTGAAGAGGCCAGGTGCACAGACTTCAGACAGATGTTTCGCCCATGTGTGGAGCAGACAGAATTACATGTGAGAGGCCCATTAGGTGCCCTAGTGTGTGAGCATGCCTGAGGAGTAGAGGAGTTCACTGCGGCACCACAAGATCTCCTGCAGACTGCTGTGGCTTTGTCCAGAAGGTTTGTAAAGCCACATCTATCTTCCCCCAAATAGATCCTTTTGGTGTTTGCTTTTTACTATTTTTGATGCTTTCTTTTTACTATTTTTAGTATACAGTTTCACTTTTACATAACTTGGATCTAGTTGTGCATTGCATTGTTATAGCTACAGGACTATTTCCTTGCTGTTCCTGCACTTACTCTTGTCTTTCCAAATTTTGGAATTTATCTGAATGGTTCCTTAGAGTGTTTGTGGTAATAAATCTTTGTCTAGTTGATAGTTACTCCCCTCAAATTCAGATAATAAAGCAGCAGCTGTTCTAGAAATCTCTGAATGTAGTGTTGTGTTTGTCATGTACTTATAGAATTCATAGAACCGCAGGATGGTTTGTGTTGGAAAGAGCCTTAATGATCCTCTAGTTCCAACTCCTCTGCCATGGACAGGGCCGCCTTCCACTAGTCCAGGTTGCTCAAAGCTCCATCCAACCTAGCCTTGAACACTTCCAGGGATGAGACATCCACAACTTCTCAGAAACCTGTTCCAGTATCTCACTACCCCCACAGTAAATAATTTCTTCATAATGTCCAATCTAAACCTAACCTCTGTCAGTTTAAAGCCATTTCCCCTTGTCCTATCCTTACTTGTCCTACTGCTTGTTATTTGCCAGATGAGACCAACTCCCACCTGGCTACAGCTTCCTTTCAGGTGTTTGTGGACAGTCATAAGGTCTCCAGGCTAGACAGTCCCAGCTCCTTCAGCTCCTTGGCACAGGACTTGAGCTCCAGACCCATCACCAGCCTTGTTGCCCTTCCCTGGGCTTGCTCCAGCACCTCAGTTCTTCTGCCTCTGCTTTTGCCACCTCCATCTCTTCCCAGGCAGCCCCTAAGAGGGTCCCAAGGAGCGGGGATGGGCGGGCAGGGCA